TAAACTAGGAGGCTAAGGAAGGAAACCAACTTAAAAACATACAGGAACATAAGAATGTGGACAAAAAACGCTGATAAAAGCAGGAAATAATCAGGAAAATAAAACACCTCAAATTTCAATGGTCAACTTTGTTATTTAGAACATACTTTTCTCAAGTCTTTCCTAGGCTATAATGGAATATTTTCGTGGAAATCATCTTAAAGACTTTCAGATAAGTGAAACCTCTTTTGCTATTAGAGATGGAACTCCCGCAAAGGTTTTCCCATTGATATTCTATATTCACAAGAATGTTAGTTGCAGAGAAAAAAATAATTTTGGATGTAATAATTTCCCCATTCTCCTTTGATGCTGAGTTGATGGAGCTCTCATATTTCTTCACCTAAATGAGTACATAAAAATGCATGGTTCAGTATTAGTTATTCTATTGATACTTCAAATAATATACAGGGTGATTCAAAATTGGCGTCATTCCTTTTAAGGGGTGATAGAGGCTCTCTTGGGGAGTACGAGAAAAATATCGAAAAATTTTTTTCCCAAAATTTCTAGAAGATTTTAACAGTTGAATATCGAATTTCAACTTTGTTATTAAGCATTATTTTGAAATGGTTCCATGCTTAACTGGTAGCATATTTAAATACTTCAAGACTCAAAAAGAAAAATTACGATCTTTGCTTCAAATTACGAAAATTTTTGATATCAAAAAAGTTCTCTTCTACAATTTTTTGATGAAAAGGCACAGCGGCAATGATGGTTTTTGTCACTAACAGATAGTTACAAGATAGCCCTTGTCAATAATAACAATAATTCGTCAAACTGTGACTTACTTTGAATTTCCTTTAACGAATTTGCTGATATGCGATTAGTTCTGGGGAAATGCTACACTAACATAGCAGAAGCTGAAAGAACTCAGGCGAACAAAGGACGAAGAGAGTGGTTCCAGGAAGATAGTGGACGACAATCCATTTTCGGGTTCCAAGCACAGAGGAACAAGTATTGGACATAATCGAATCAGGGCCTTCCAGGGGCACTCAGAGCACAATAACTGACACTTTCCCAAGCAC